TTACATACAGAGAAAAAGAAACAGAGGAGCAACATGATGTACGACTTCATGCTCAAAGAACAAGACAAACTCAAACACGATCTAATTTCAAATAAAATTTTGTTTGATTAAATGCTTTTTTATTTCTCGCATCACAGCTTTTGTCTGCTTACTGAATAATTTGCTGAAAAAAATACTGATCTGTACATTTCAAATCTAAATTTTCACCGTGCAACGCCGGGTAACTCAGCTAGTATATATAGCTTGACCAGTCCTGACAAGTATAATAGACACACTTGACCAGTCCTGACAAGTATAATAGACACACTTGACCAGTCCCGACAAGTATAATAGACACACTTGACCAGTCCTGACAAGTATAATAGACACACTTGACCAATCCTGACAAGTATAATAGACACACTTGACCAGTTCCGACAAGTATAATAGACACATTTGACCAGTCCTGACAAGTATAATAGACACACTTGACCAGTCCTGACAAGTATAATAGACACACTTGATCATTTCTGATACAAATAATAGACATGAATGGTGCGAGAAAAAATCCCACTAAGAGAAGTAAACACTGGAAAACTTGTGTTTAAACGAAGTTATCTGTTAAGCTTCTTTGCTATCAATAAACAAAAAAAAAAACGTTTCAACACAGACGTTCACAACCTTCTGTCTATCATTTAAGTCTTGTCTGTTCACCTTTTGATAAAAGCATACTTTCGCTCTTGCTCAGCGATAAATAGTGACTAATCACGCTGTGGAGTTCATACAGACTTGTGACGCCGGTTACGGAAGACACAAATGTACCGCGAGCTCTGGTGTTGCGTCAACTTGGAAAGCCCGTTATCACGATTTACTCTCGTTAGCAATGTGCTCGATAGTGTGTGCCACGTTCTAACAATACGCATGGCGCTCAGAGCTCAGGTGATCAATAGAAAGAACGTATTATATAGATCGTATCAGAGATGGAGGAGGTTACAAAATGTATATAGATATACGTAACCCTTGCTTTACATGACAGATAAAGCTAACGTTCAACCCAAGATAACAGAGAAAAATAAAGCGAAATTTCAATTGTTCATAACTGTATGATGTAAAGTCCCCTGTAAAAGCGCTTTTACATGAGCGTATACCCGACAAGGGAGAAACCAAAGATATACGGTATGGTGGCGTTGTCATGGAGTTTTGTGGGCGTACGATTTGCCTTACAAACTTCTGCTGTACGTTTAGAGCCCAGGCATCTCTTGTTATTTAGATCAAAATATTGTTAGATGATTATGAAGAACTTATTTTAGCCTCGTTTAAGTTTTCTTAATTGTTTGAGCAAGTTAGTAAACAGTTTAATTAAATCCTGAAAACTAAGGATTTGCATCACATGGGTAAAAACTTTAATTTGCAAGTAAACTGATAAAAAAGCAGTAAAAACTTTGACCTGCAAGTAAACTGACAAAGAAAACAGTAAAAACTTTACTTTGCAAGTAAACTGACAAAAAAAACAGTAAAAACTTTGACCTGCAAGTAAACTGACAAAAAAACAGTAAAAACTTTAACCTACAAGTAAACTGACAAAAAACAGTAAAAAACTTTGACCTAAAGTAAACTGACAAAAAACAGTAAAACTTTGACGTTCAAGTAAACTGACAAAAAACAGTAAAAATGTTGACTCGCAGGTAAACTTATAAAAGAAAACAGTAAAAAGTTTTACCTCCCAGTAATCTGTTACAAACACAAGTGAACGACTTGCCTGAAAACAGACTCGCATAGTTGAAAAAGTAAGGCATCGTATTTATTAGAGCTGGAAAGCCCCCACTGGTTTGCCCCTACACACCCAGCATAGAATAGACAGTGCACTCACCGGCACTTGGACTTACCCGTGTGTAAAAGTTAGGCCTCGTTCATGAAGTCTTGTGTTTAAAGTCCGCCAAGCTATCTCTTTTGTTCTTTGTTGGTATCAATCGCCTAAACCTAACTACAGCTAACCATTGGCTCAGATCTAGCCACGGACCATGAGACTGCTTGGAGTGTTCCCGTACATTCAAGTGTGTGACCGTTCCCGAATCGATAGGCTCACTCGCTTTGGACGCAACCAATATAAACCTCGAAAGGGGGGGATGAGTGGTAATGAGAATCGCCAACATATACGATGGAAATACTACACGCTTCATGTCCGTGTGCAAAACCTGAGTGTAATGTACGATATTTACGCAAACCACAGCACTGTTCATGAAAATCGTTACGTAATAAAGCAAATATTATTCCGAATTTTTGTTCTCTTTCTTAGACATATTTTTTTTCTTCTTTTCTCTTCCTGTTCGCAGTTCTGAGTATACCATTTTCAACATCGATAAATAGTGAAGGTTCGATCCATGATAATGACTGGAGAGTTTTTTTTTTAATCCTTCATTGGCGTAATATCTCACGAAAAGCTGAGAAGGTATAAGAACGCGTGGTTTTAACCACGTTATATCTGGGGGCTAGATCTAAAATTCACGTTATATCTGGGGGCTAGATCTAAAATTCACGTTATATTTGAGGACTAGATCTAAAACTCACGTTATATCTGGGGGCTAGGTCTAAAACTCACGTTATATCTGGGGGCTAGGTCTAAAACTCACGTTATATTTGGGGGCTAGGTCTAAAAATCCCGTTATTTCTGTGGACTATATCTAAAATCCAGTTATTTCTCTGGACCATAGCTAAAACTTAAAAGTCAGGTTATTTCTGTGGACTAGATCTAAAATCGTGTTTTTTTGTTTTTATTTTTTCTAACTAAAGATATTGTTAAAGATATGGTCACGGAAGAAATGGAGTGGAATTCGCTAATTAACATCATGGTAATTTATGGTAACTGTAACTAACAATAACATCATATTTATGGTAACTCTATGTTAATATCATGGTAATTTATGGTAACTGTAACTAACAATAACATCATATTTCTGATAACTCTATGTTAATACCATGGTAATTTATGGTAACTGTAACTAACAATAACATCATATTTCTGATAACTCTATGTTAATATCACATTTATGGTAACTGTAACTAACAATAACACCATATTTATGGTAACTCTATGTTAATATCATGGTAATTTATGGTAACTGTAACTAACAATAACATCATATTTACGATAACCCTGACTGAATCTATCATTATATCGCCAATAACTCTAACCAAGGTTAGCAATAAATACAGGTCTGATGAGGACTCATGGAAACGTTATTTACTGCATTACCAACAAGGAAAGATTTCCTTAAAACACGTGTTCGGGAGACTGAATAAGTTAGAAAAAGGTTTATAGATGTATATGTATATGATGTAAGATTTGTATATAAAATAGTGTTTGTTTTCTGAATTTCGCGCAAAGCTACACGAGGGCTATCTGCGCTAACCGTCCCTAATTTAGCAGTGTAAGACTAGAGGGAAAGCAGCTAGTCATCACCA